TCGCCCACCCTGTGGTGTGACAACCAGACTGCCATTCACCTCACCAAGGATCCTGTGTTCCACTCTCGCACCAAGCACATCGAACTTCGTCATTTCTTCATTCGAGATCTTGTTCAGAGTGAGCAGCTGACGGTACGGTACATCGCCTCAGATTGCAACCTCGCCGACCTCTTTACCAAGGCTCTCGGCAAGGGTGACCACCATCGCCTTCTCCGTTCCATGAGGCTATGTGCTCCTTGACCAGAAATAGAGTTCAAATGATTGATTAGGTAAGGAGCCCAAGGCTCTATAAGTACATGGCAAGGTGAGAGAGAATGGATGAAGGGGGAATAGGAGGGAATCCCCATTGGGATCTCCGGAATCTCCAATTGGGTAATTGGAGATTGTGGGGATCACAATTGGGTGAGGTTGGGATTTATGAGTACACCCCAACCCACTAGAACATTCACAACCTAAACTAGGATATAAAAGTACAAATACAAAAGTGGTATTTGCAGTCTTTTTCTAACAATGCTCAGATGGCAGCATTGCAGAACCTGTCTGATGGCGTACCATGCCATGTGACGCAAACGAAATGGCATCTTTCTTGTATACGAAGCGCATGACCGAGTCTGAACTTCGAGGTTTAGGGAGACTCCTGGCGTTAAGTGAATACACCTGGTTAGCAATATATTCGTACACATATAAAGTTGACATTATTTATGCTTTTAGCATTCTACATGTCCAACCCAACAAGTGCCAGGTGTGTAGTCAGTTTGTAATGTGTTTATTAGCTCACTACTGAAAGTACATCTGTATGTTGGGACAAGACACTCCTTGCTGGCAAGCTGCCAGCCTTTTCCTAGCAAACTATTTATCGCTAGGTGAGCTTCTCAGGCTAAGGCTATGCCTAGGATGGTATGAGCCGCAGCATAGTGTGCTTGACTCCAGTTGCGGCTTATGCACTGGTCTCACCTATGTGTTCCCATTGCCAAATTGTCTAAATGTGTTCGAGTAATATGGTGTCTTGGTTCCAACAATGTAATATGGATTGCCCTTGAGTTGGCTTGTAAGAGATATTTTTATACAATCCCTAGAGAACTTGGCATTCAATGGCTGGTGCCGCTTGATACTGAGCGCTTGGCATAACGAATGAGAGATAGGGTTGTTTTCCCTGAATCCACTCCTTTACGCCTAGGGAAATAGGTATGTTGCTGCTGTAGATAAGCGATGGTGCGTTCCGCGGCAATGTTGTAGGCCGTAACCTGTGTGTATTCAGAAGGCCCATTTGAGGCTGGATTTGAACCGCACCAGCGCTTGGCGTCCGCTGCACGCAGTTTCTTTGAGATCCCTGGCTGGACTGGAATGGTCTCGAGTGGTTACCGCTTCCGCACGAGTGACTCGTGGAACCTGGCCATCGCCTGGGCACCGCGGGCATTACCACTGGTGGGGTTGTTCCTTGGCTCAGGACAGTTGGGATGTGTGCTCAGAGTGGGACACATGGCAGGCGCAATGACTAAGGCCATTTGTGGCTCCTCCGGTGGTGGTAGAGCTGCGAGTCGCGCTGCTGCCACGTGTGTCTCCACGTCCTGTAGGATCGCATTGATCTCGTCAATCGTGAAGTTGTTGGTGAACCAGTCCGCCAATGCCTCTACGAATTCTGCGGACAGTGGGACGGCAGGCGAAGCTGTGCGGCAAGGAAAAAATACAGAAGAAGACGGGGTGTAAGGAGGGGCGGTTTAGTGTGGTGCCATGGATGTTGGAACAGCATTGTGGTTGCAACAAAGATAGGGAAAAACGGCAGCTGGCGAGAAGCAGAAGTGATAGGAGGGGAGGAGCGCCTCGGACGGGGAGGACCTGGGGCGGGGAGAGGAGAGGCTGCACGGGGTGTATGGGGCTGTAGGGAGGGGGAGGATCTGCAGGAAGGGGAGGGGGTGCAGGGAGTGGGAGTAGCTGCAGGGAGTGGGAGGGGGTGCAGGGAGTGGGAGGAGCTGCAGGGAGTGGGAGGGGGTGCAGGGAGCGGGAGGAGCTGCAGGGAGTGGGAGGGGGTGCAGGGAGAGGGAGGAGCTGCAGGGAGTGGGAGGAGCTGCAGGGAATAGGACTCCCAACTCTCTCAGGTCCTGCGCGTTTGCCCGGCAATCCCAAGGCCCAGGTCCTCGCGTTTGGGACTGGGACCCCTAGGGCAGAACAGTCGGGGGGGCCCCGCCAGCGCCTGCCGCCCCCCGAATGCCAAACCTCCGGGGATTACGTCATCGAAGGGGATGGGTAAAAAACATGCCCCTCTTGATAAAACCCCTTATCCGTGGGTCTGTCGTCGCCGCCACTGTAGCTGGCGACGGAGTCCGTTTTGACGGCAATCTCCACGTTGTTTTGCGACGTCGTTCGACAAGACTCCGATGGCGTTGGTAACCTGGGGGAGAAGGATAAACATTGTTGAAACACTTTGGTTGAGTGGTATGTAGAAGATACCTGTTGAATGATTTTTTTTACCCGCTATACTTTAGAACACCTTGTTGCTTGGTGATGGGCAAATATAATGAAAAGTGTCTGCCTGGCCTTGATGTTCTTCTACCGGGAACCCGGGGGCAGGTCGAGAATAAAACGGCGTGCTCTCGGATTTGTCTCCTTTTTCGAATCTGCGATGGGAATTCTGGGAACTTGGGCACTCAGAAGTTACGTTCGTCGTTTCGGTGGGTGCATATCCGTCAAAGAGTTTCCGAGGGAGCGTTACGGTCGGAGATTTCTGTGGGAGCGATGTCGTAGGAACGTTTTTGTGGTCGCGTTTCTGTGGGAACGTTTATGTGGGAGCGTTTCTGTAGGACCGTTCTCTGGGGGCGCTTCTGTGGGTGCGTATCTTTGGGGACGTTTCTGTTAGGGTTCAGTGTGTTCGCGTTTTTGTGGGGACGTTTCTGTGGCAGCGTTTTCTGTGGGTGCGTTTCGGTGATAGGGTTTCTGTGGGCACGTGTGTGTGAGCGGGATTCTGTGGTAGCGTTTCTATGGGGGCTCTTTTGTGGGGTCGTTTCTGCGGAGGCATTTCTGTGGGCAAGTTTCTGTGGGCCCGTTTGTATGGGAACGTTTCTGTGGGTGAGTTGATGTGGGTGCGTTTGTGCAAGGGCGTTTTTATGGGAACGATTCTAGACGAGCGTTTCTGTGAGAGCACGACCCCGTTACACCACTTGTTCCTTTTCTTATTTCCTTCTTTCATTTCTCTTTTTATCTCATCTCATTTGGTTTCCTATTCTCCATTTCCCATTAACCTTTGGTTTATCCTGCTATTATAATTATATCACCGACCAGGATTGGGATGTACTAGGGCGCTATATCTAGCGTAATCCTGACGTAATCCCTTAAAGCCAATGGCCTCGCGTGGCTATACGCAGGGTGATTCTATATTCTAGAAGGGTCTATTCCCTTAGGATAAGATAAACCTGGTTATCTGATGTACTCTGGAAGTATAAAAGCGCCTTGTACAGATCGATAGTGCAACCTTTCCTCGAGTCATTCGATCCTGTGATACTTGGTAATCAGAGCTTTTCTCACTCAGCCGCGCTCAACAAAGCAGCAGCAGCGGGAAAACCTGCCTCGAAAAACCGCCGGGGGCGACCAATTCGACGCCGATTCTGGTAAGCACCAGCTCCGCGATTTTTCGAATCTCCCCCCCCCGCCCGCCCCCCGCGCGTGTTTCAACAGGATGGCAACCTTCGACAACGGCGAGGTTACCCAGCAGCTCTTCGCACGCATCGCAGCCCTTCAGGAGGAAATGCGAGCGGATCGTGAAGCGTGGCGAAACGAGTTCGAGCGAGTAACTCGACTCGCCGGAGCGCAGCACGACTCGACAACGGCGACGACGCAGCAGTCGCAGCAGTTTCTTGAGGCTCCGAAACCGCGCCCACCTGAGCCGTTCGATCCGAGCGATCAAAACTCCGACGCCCCCCGATGGATCGCCGGGATGGAGATCTACTTCGCAGCGGTCGGATGGAGCTCGCCAGTCTGGGACGGACAACGCGTACGACTCGCGGCGACACTGATGCGAGGGCCGGCACTCGAGTGGATTGGCGGCAACAGCACCTTCATCCACGGTGAAGCCACGTGGCAGCAGATCCGCGCCGACCTGCTGAAACGATTCGAGCCGATAAATTCGAGTTTCCTTGCCCGGGAAAAAATTCATCGCCATCGACAGTTCGGGAGTGTAGCGTAGTACACGCAGCAGATGGAGGAATTTTATAACCTCATTCCCGACCTGACCGAAGGGGAAAAAGTACAATCGTACCTCGCCGGACTGAAGACCGAAGTCAAACGTCAGGTGGCAGCGTTAAACTACGCGAGCTACAGTGACTTCGTTTTGGCAGCGGAGCACTTCGACATGGTCAACGCCGGGACACGACGGACGCGTACGCGACAGGGCAACCGCTCGGCTCACCCCACGTTCGCCGACCCGATGGAAGTCGACAGGTTCGAGGGGCGGCCACGTCCAAAAAACACCAACTACACGTGTGATTTTTGCGGGGTGCCGGGCCATCGAATCTTCGACTGCAACAAAATGAAAGCCGCACGCGCGGAGTATCGGGCACGCAACAGTGGCGGGATTCCTTCAGCCAATCAGAAGACAAAAAATGGGAGTCGCCAGTGATCGCGGATCTAGCTGGCGAAAAAGAAAATATCCGAAAACGGCCGCGGGATTCCAGAAAAATCAACTTCGACGAAGCTGATTCGACGCGAGAAGGAGGAAATGATGGGGGAAAATCTCCACCGTGACCAGTCTTTGCCAGGGAACAACCGTCTACACCGACCACTGCAGCGTGAAATACTTGAAGACACAACCCAACCTTTCCAGGCGGCAGGTCCTGTGGATCGACTTCCTCGAGACACACTTTCACTACGACATCGTGTACAAGCCCGGCCACAAAAACAAAGCAGACGCTCTCAGCCGGCCTGCACACGTTGCCGCTATTCAGATTGAAGGGATGAATCCACTTCTCAAGGGGCTCTTCACACACGGGTACACCATCGACCCAGAAATTCCCTTGGCAGAAAAGCGACATCTGCTACAGTGGGACAGTGACATCGCGTACCAGAAAGGATCAACGAAAATCTGGGTACCCAATTACCCTCCTTTGCGCCAGTTACTACTCGAAGAATACCACGACGTCCTCTATGCCGGGCACTTCGGTAGCAACAAGACGCTGACTGGTATTGCGAAACACTACTACTGGCCCCACTTGGCAGAGGATGTTCAGAAGTTTGTCACCTCGTGTGAAACATGTCAGCGGATGAAGAGCAGCAAGCAGAAAAAGGCGGGACTACTGCAGCCTCTTCCTGTCCCAAAACAACCATGGCAAGTGGTTAGCCTGGACTTCATCACCGGGTTACCACCTACCACCAGCGGTCATAACGCAATCCTTGTCGTCATCGTCAAGTTCTCCAAAATGGGACACTTCATCCCGACACACACGACGGCACGCACCGAGGAGACAGCACAACTATTCGTTCGATACATCATCTCACAGCATGGCATTCCAACCACACTCATCTCCGACCGAGACCCCAAGTTCACCAGCAAGTTCTGGAAGGAGCTAATGTCTCTACTCGGGACCAAACTTGCCATGTCATCCGCTTACCATCCGCAGACAGACAGACAGACCGAGCGCCTCAACCAGATTGTTGAGCAACTCCTCCGAGCAGCCTGCAAGGACGAGATCTCCAAATGGGACCTGCACCTGCCCGTTCTAGAGTTTGCTTACAACAACGCTACACATGCCGCTACGGGACAGACGCCGTTCTTCCTCTGCTACGGACGCCACTCGCTCACACCACAAAAACCGACACCATCCGCTACAGTCCAACCTGCACATGATTTCATCACAACCATGCATCAGCTTTGGGATCGGACCCACAAGCGCCTCCTCGACATTCAGCAGCAAAAGAAGCGCCAGGCCGATCGCCATCGCAACGACCACACCATTACCGTGGGAGACCAGGTACTTCTTGACACCCGCAACCTGGACATCAGCCACCTCCCATCTAAACTTCGACCTCGCTTCTGCGGGCCTTTTCTCGTTGAAGCACAGGTCACTCCTGTTACCTTCCGCTTACGCCTGCCAGCTACCTGGAAGATTCACAACGCCTTCCATGTCCAACTTCCGAAGCCCTATCAGGATCCCAACACGATCTTCGTCGGATGCCAACCGCCGCCGCCGCCGCTCGTCCTCGTCCAGAATGAACCCGAGTACGAGGTCGAGTCCGTGCTTGCACACCGCCGTCGTCGGAATGGCAACGTGGAGCTTCTCATCCGTTGGAAGGGTTATGATCCTTCTGAGGACAGCTGGGTACCTGAGACCGACATGGGTAACGCCCGTCGTCCTCTGCATGACTACCTTGTCAAGCAGGGTGTTACTTCTACCACCCAGCTTTGAGGGGGGGAAGTGTGAGAGCACGACCCCGTTACACCACTTGTTCCTTTTCTTATTTCCCTCTTCCTTGATTTCTCTTTTTATCTCATCTCATTTGGTTTCCTATTCTCCATTTCCCATTAACCTTTGGTTTATCCTGCTATTATAATTATATCACCGACCAGGATTGGGATGTACTAGGGCGCTATATCTAGCGTAATCCTGCAGTAATCCCTTAAAGCCAATAGCATCGCGTGGCTATACGCAGGGTGATTCTATATTCTAGAAGGGTCTATTCCCTTAGGATAAGATAAACCTGGTTACCTGATGTACTCTGGAAGTATAAAAGCGCCTTGTACTAATCGATAGTGCAACCTTTCCTCGAGTCATTCGATCTTGTGACAGTTTCTCTGTGCTTTTCTGTTGGAGCGATTCTCTGAGAGTGCTTCTGTGGACTCGTTTCTGTGGAGGCGCTTCTGTGGAGACGTTTCTGTGGGCGTTTAGGGTGGAAGCGTTTCTGTGGGGACGCTTTTGTGGGAGCATCTCTGTGGGCACGTTTCTGTAGGACCGTTCTCAAGGGGCGCTTCTGTGGGTGCGTATCTTTGGGGACGTTTCTTTTAAAGTTCAGTGTGGGTGCGTTTCTCTGGGGACGTTGTAAGAAATAGAGTTGAAATGATTGATTAGGTAAGGAGCCCAAGGCTCTATAAGTATATGGCAAGGTGAGAGAGAATGGATGAAGGGGGAATTGGAGGGAATCCCCATTGGGATCTCCGGAATCTCCAATTGGGTAATTGGAGATTGTGGGGATCACAATTGGGTGATGTTGGGATTTGTGAGTACACCCCAACCCACTAGAACATTCACAACCTAAACTAGGATATAAAAGTACAAATACAAAAGTGGTATTTGCAGTCTATTTCTAACACACCCCCATAGACTGCAAACCCGGTCAAGGAGCACATAGCCCCATGGAACGGAGAAGGCGATGGTGGTCAGCCTTGCTGAGAGCCTTGGTAAAGAGGTCGGCGAGGTTGCAATCTGAGGCGATGTAACGTACCGTCAGCTGGTCACTCTGAACAAGATCTCGGATGAAGAAATGACGAAGTTCGATGTGCTTGGTGCGAGAGTGGAACACAGGATCCTTGGTGAGATGAATGGCACTCTGGTTGTCACACCACAGGGTGGGCGACTGCTGGGGGTAGCCTAACCAGCGAGGAGAAAGGAGAGCCAGCGTGCCTTTTGAGCAGCCATTGTGCCCGCGTAGAGCTCGGCCTCGCAGGACGACATGGAGACTGCAGAGGACCGAGTGGAGCGCCAGCTGATGACTCCGCTACCAAGGGTGAAGCAGTACCCTTGGGAGGAGCGTCTGTCAGTCTGGTCATCGGCCCATGAGGAGTCTGTGTATCCCTCAAGCTTGACTGGAGAGGTACCACCAAGAGTGAGGATGTGAGACTTGGTGGCTTGTAGATAGCGGAGGACCCTCTTGGCTGCAGACCAATGCGAGGCAGTGTAGCGTCCGGGGGAGACGTACCGAGAGAGGACACTAACCGGGTAAGCCAAGTCTGGTCGAGTGCACATCATGGCATACATGAGTGAACCGACTAGCTCAGGGTACGGGTCCTTGCAGGCGTCAGGAGAAGGAACTGGAGGGGCCGTGAGCTGATGCTGTAGTGGGAGTGGAGTGGAGACAGAGTTACTGGAGTCCATGTCGAACCGCTTGAGAAGGTTGTCGATGTAGGACTCCTGGGAGAGGGTGATCGTGCAAGCCTGCGGTCACGAGTGATCTCCATCCCCAGGTAGTTCTTGAGGTCACCAAGATCCTTCATGAGAAGGGCGGAGCTGAGAGCAGACTGGACAGCTGCCATGTCGGCTGGATCTCTGGCGGCTAGAATGAAGTCGTCGACGTAGACGAGGATGTAGAAGGGCTCGGAGGAGTGACGAACGAAGAGACTGGAATCTGAGGCAGAGGGATGGAAGTCAAGTGCGAGAGGACTTCCTTCACCTTGTTGTGCCACTCACGAGGAGCCTGCTTGAGGCCATACACTGGGCGCTTCAGCTTCCACACTGTGTTTGGCAGGGTAAGTGCCAGGAAACCCCGTGGGCGTTCCATGTGAACATCCTCCTTGAGCTGGCCTTGGAGAAAGGCGGAGGAGGCGTCCATGGACTTGATCTCGAAGTTGCGCGAGCGGCTATATCAAGAAAGCGCGCACAGTCGGGAGCTTGGCCGTGGGCGAGAAGTTTTCGAAGAAGTCGAGATACTCCTTCTGGGTGAAACCCTTCGCCACGTATCGTGCCTTGAACAGTGGAGCTTCGCCTGGGAGTTGTTTGACTCGGAAGATCCATTTCCGCCGACGATGTTGACACCGGAAGGGGGAACAACATCGTCAAAGCTGTTGTTGCGAATGAACGCTCGTTCTCCACATCCATTGCTGCTTCCACTCCTTCTTATAAGGCCCCGAGAGAGCTTCCTCTTTTGTGCGAGGAGTCGGAATGGTCGGGTTCTCGGTGAAGTTGAGGAAAGGGGCAGTCATTAATGTCGGGAAGATGTGAGAGAGAATTGGCAGACCGCGTAATGGTCAAACAGCTCCTCATGCCTGTCCTCCAGAAGTGCACGGGGGGAATACGGATGGAGGGGACATCACCCCCGGCAGGAGGAGGCGGGGTGACCGAACACCGGATGGAGAAGGCGGCTGGTCCCCAGGCGAGAGGCGGAGCCGGTCCCTTGGAACGAGTGCGACTAGAGACCGGAGACGAAGGCGGCTGCGGTGGGACCGGAGGGACTGGGCCTCCGATAGGAGACTGGTGAGCCGGGCTCGACGCGCGGGGAAGGCGGAGCAGGAGGAGGTGCCGCTGCGGAGGATACTGGGGAGGCCGGGTGAGACACGCCGGACGGAGAAGGCCCCGGAGAAGGGGCAGCGGCCGGAGGTGGGGCATCGAAGTCTGCCCAAAAAGCGTCGGGGAGGTGGAGAGGCTCGCCCGTGGTCGCAGAGTGGAAGGGCGTGTCTCATCGAAGACGACATCACGGCTGCGAATCAGCTGTCTGGTGATGGGTTGAGGAATAAGTAGTCTGGGGAGTCGGAGTTGTGCCCCAGGTACATGGGTTTTGGGACCAAGCTTGCCACCTTGCTTCCTGCGCGTGTGGGGGCTGCAACACATATGCGGTACACCCCCAGACGCGTAGAGAGCGGCGGAAGGCGTGGCCCCAAGCCAGAGAGCGGTAGGTGTGGTGTCGGGCCGGTGGGGATGCGGATAAAGATTGTAGAGGAGAGCCGCATGGAAGAGGGCATATCCCCAGAGTGACCGTGGTGTGTTGGCGTGACTGAGGAGGCAGCGAGTGTGGTTGCGGCTCTCTGCAATGCCGTTCTGCTGGGCTTTCGGGAGCGTGAAGGTTTGCCGAATCCCTTGGGCGCAGAAGTTATCGAGTTTGCCATTGCGAAATTCTCCCCCGCCATCAGAATGGAGGCACTTCAGAGGAGTGCCGAACGTGACTTGAGCCTGGCGCACCCATGCCATGATGACATCAGGTGCCTCCGCCTTGGTGTGCAGGAGGTGCACAGAAACATACCGCGAGTGGTCATCGACTAGTGTAAGAAAGTACGATGACCGCCTCGGGATGCGACTGGAGCTGGGCCCCAGACATCCATGTGCACTAGGTCCAGCGGAGCAGCTGCGACGGATGGGGAGGAAGGGTGCGGCTGCTGCCTGAGCTTGCTCTTGGTGCAGTCCAGGCAGGTGGGTGCAGGTGAGTCTGTTGGTGGAGGAAGCGCCGACGGGAGGCCAAGAAGAAGTTTCTTGGAAGCGATGTCGGCAAGAGTACGGAAGTTGGGGTGACCCAAGCGATAGAGGATGGTTGGGTTGGCGAAGCTGCGACAGGAACACGGAGTGGCAGCTTGCGCTTAGAGGGCGGCGAGAGGTGCAGGTGAACGCAGCGTGTAGAGCTTGCTGCTGTTGAGTGTGAAGCGTGCTAGGAGCTTGTTGGACTTAGGGTCAAGGAGGTCACAGTATCCGAGTGTGCTGGGAAGATCGTGGTGACGCCTGCCCGTTGGAGCTCGTGTTGGGCCACAGATTGTGGCGTAGTGTGGGAACACACATGCCGGTCACACTGCCCGAAGGAAAGCTGGCACGGAACTGTGGAGGAGCCCTTGCGTGTGTTGTGAAACTGGAGTCTGCTCCTAGTAGACGGATTGGTGTCTCGTATGGCTTGAAGGAACCGTTGAGAACCGTGTGAGAGGCCCCACTGTCGAGGGTGAACTCTATTGTGGCTGAGGTGCTTTGTGAGCGGGACACTGCGAAATTGTCTCATTAATCATGGCAGTGCCAGGAACAACATGTTCAGGCGCACATCAGCAGGGAGCTACAGCAGCCTGCACGGATTCCTGCGCTTCGACTTGATTGACCTTGCGAGGAGCACGATTGACCATCCAGCTTGGCGGCTTCGAGGCGGCCCATTGACGGCATACCACTCGTCATCCTTTCTTCTTGAAGCAGGAGGCAAGGGCGTGGTTGGTGCCGCCACACACCTGGCCGGCACGAGGGCCGCGCTTGATACGTAGGGACATGGGGGGAAGCGGTTGCGCTGGAATGGCGCCGAAGCGGCATAGGCTTGAGGCACGGGAGCGCGGATTGCATTGGCCTTGGCTTGAGCGCTGTTGTCCTTTTCGGCAGAAAGGAGCGCGGATGAGACCTTGGCAAATGTGAGGTCTGCAGGAGCAAGGCCCAAGAGCATCTTGCGTGTGACTTCGTATGCCGGAGTGAGGCCGATAGGAGAGCGGCTGCAGGGGCTTGCTCGGGAAGACTATCCCCAACTGCTTGAGTTCACCTGAATGGACTGCACCTTGGTGACATAGTCCGCCATGCCTGGCGAGTCCTCGAGCCGCACTTGGAACATGCTGGGGATGAGTATAGCAACTCCCACTGCAGTCTTGTTCAGGAAGCGGTCTTCGAGGTAGAGCCAAATGGCGTTGGCAGACGGGTAGTTGTGGTAGGTTTCGACGAGTT